AAATAATACTCTCCCCAGCCCTTAATATGAAAAAAGAACAAATACTTAATCCATCAAGAATAACGAAATTGGTTTAGTTAATTTACTCTAAAAATGCACACAACTAAATGGTTTTAAGTAGTCGTCATAATTACTAACACTATACATAACTTGAGATATAATTTCTCCCATCAATGAATACACCCACTTGCATAGGTTTAGGGTTTAGGGAAAGACTTGGTGTTTTACTAATAGAGCTCACAATAAATTAGGGATATAAAAGGAGTTTAACTATTAATACACCTGAAAGTGAGTCTATTTTCTTACAATTGGGACCAAAAATGCACTATTTTGTTTCTTATGTATATAAAGGGCTTGAGAGATCATAAGAGAACAGAAATCCTAGGTCACACCACACACCTGAGTTAGGGTGGTTAGCAACTTAGCATCTCAACTAATTGTGATTGGTCAAGTTGAAATGATATATGCACACTATAACTTATCTATGTTGGTTAACACTATAAAGGTACAGTTAGAAACACAACTTCATTAGACATTTTCACAAAGATTACAAGAAATCAATTTTATGATTTGATGAAAAAGAAATAGAAACAAAAAAGTTATCACCAGGACGCTACCTTATCAGAAGAATCTGAAAGTGCTTTGAGTAGGGTATCAAATATGTCATTCAGAAATATCAAAACCTGATTCAGACAACGAAAGCCAATAGTGAGCACAGACATAACAGAATAACACAATTAAAACATTTCACACAAATTGAAAAAGTAATAATTCAAAAGGGGAGATGTCAATGAGGAATATTTTTTACACGAACAGGAAAAGATTGTGAAACTAGAAGGCGCAGGTACTGCAAGGGACATACATGGACAAGGATACAACACAAAATGGAGACAAAATTTTATAAAAACAATGCAGGTCATGGCAATATATAATATGCATAAAATTAGCAGTTTTGTTGGCATCAGTCCTTATAACTGATTTCAGCAATTACAGGTGGATGGTTTCTCTTTGGAGGAAAATAATTTTTAATTTAGTATATCTACTATAAAAAATATTTTATTGTCCAACAAACAACTTTCCATCTGCAATTGCTTCAAATTAGCAAAGGGATAAGGTTAACAAAACCATAAACGTAATTAAAATTAACATAAAATAAAATTCTTAACACAAGAGGATTTATTCTAAAAATGAACTTGAATTATTCTAAACATAATTAATTAACTGTTACAATTTATCTTAATATTGTAGTATTTCAATTTCTATTGGAATAAGAGTTGTAAAAACTAAAAGTGATAAGAGTTGTAAAATGCAGGTAAAGATGTTTTGAGTCTCCATGCCATGCCCAACATGATTACATGTTTGAAAAATGGATAATATATCATGGCCAATATTTAGATGTATAGTGCTTTCATAACACCAAAAAATAAGTTCGCCTCATACGTATTTGTGTGTTGCAGTGCAATAAGAAAAAATATGTCAAGTGTCCAACACAAATACATGTTTGACGCACGGACAACACAACATAGCTACTATTTAGAACTATCATGCTTTCACAGCCCAAAAAATAAGTTGGTACAAACTGTATTTGTGTTTTTTGAGTGATTGCTGTAGTTATAAAAATAAGAAACTGATCCAATATAATCAAGAATATCTTGATTATACATGTATTACTGATTCCTTTTTATCAAATATAAATAAAGCCCTCGTGCTATCTTGTAATACAGTCTTAGCTCTATGTTTCTCTGTTTCTTAGAGTTTAAGAGTGATAATCAAAGAAAAAAGTAAGAGTGCCATAAATGGGATGTAAGATGTGCGGCAAGGCACCCTAGACCCTAAACCCTAATAATGGTAGAAGACATAAACAACACAATGTTTCTAAAGATTCCTGAAATATCCAAACAGGTGTGGAATCGAGATCTATAACAAAGATTCCAAATAAGCATATTAAGAGACTAGATTCATTCCATATAATAATAGTATCCTCAAAATATAACAATAAAAGCTGAATTCAATCAAATCACCTCACTACGGTGTCTGGATAAAAGGGTCGACATCCAGTGCAAAGCTTCAATTCGAGTAGCCTCCCATTCACTAGATAGTTGCCTAACCAGTCAAATCATTTCCAAAATCATTCTCCGGAATAAACATTGCAAAATAGAGTCGGCTAAACTAAACAGGCCCTCAATCATAATTGAAAAGCAGCAATTTTCAGAAAAAACTACACCTCCTAGCAATGGACAGGATTGCTCCTACATCAAATGCGTCAGCTGGATCAGCCTTGATTCCACGTAGCTCTTCATTGGTTTCACGAGCAACCTTATACATAAGCCACAAAAGAGTTCTAAATCCTTGCTTTCCAATGCAGGCAACACCAAAATTAAACATCATACAAAACAGAGAATAAAAAAGGTAAATTACCAAAAAAAATGGTAAAGACAGGGAAAGAGTGAAAACTCCAGTAAGCCTACCACTCTAATTTTCTCTTCTTTATCAGATATGCACGGCAAAATGGCTCCAAGAATGTCAGCATAATATGGAACAAGCTGATCTCCACCAAGTTTAACAAACTCATTTATCTGTTAAAACAAGAAAGCACAGTTTAAGGAAAATAATAATGAACAACAATTCATAATAACTTTGACAAGATG